GAATTATGATCTCCAATTGTCATTCTCCCATATAAAAAAAAAACAGACTTTTATTGGTGGATTTTTTTTCTTGGATAAATATATATGTGTGTGTAAAGTCCATTAAAAGTTGTTATGTTTAGAAAGTTTTTGTTGGCAAAAGGATATTTATAAAGCTTGAATGGTGGGACTAATCTTAATTTCTTACAGCATTGCATTTGTTTCATTTCTTGAGTTGTCATTTGGATATTGGCAGTTTGTATTGGAAAAGTGGTCCGGCGTGCAATGTGGTCCTTTTCTTTACCTTTCTTCTTGTCCAATGACACTGATTTTGATTCATCAAAATAAATAATAAGAAGAAGAAATCTATCGCCTTAGCAACAAAGCTACGATGAAAGCATTTGGCTTATTTCCATTGTTGTAGATATCTTTTTATTGAATATAATCATATTTGAGGTGACTAAATATGACCTTAATTTTTGGATTGTCAAAATTTAAAATTTTTATATAATAAATTTGTTTTTAAAAAATAATTATTACAAAATTATTGCATTTTAGATTATATATCTATTAAAATATAAAGGTAAATAATACTAAATATAGACTATCTAATTTTAATCTAGACAATCATATATATATATATATATTGAAATTTTCAAAAAAAAAATTGAAGAGCCCAGATGTTAATTTTTATTAAAGAATCTACAAAGTTGAGCACAGATTATCAAATTATAAAGTTTAATTTAAATTTATGCTCATTTTGTTTTTAATTTTTAAGTTTAAATCACAGATTTTAGTTCTTGTAAAGTGGTCCTAATTTTTATTAAATTACAGAAACTAATATTTTAAATGAGAAAAAAAACTTGAGGAATCAAAACTTATAATTTGAAACTTAAAATACCAATATTAAAATAAGAACAAATTTGAAGGACAAAAAATTATATTAACTAGATCATCGTTTATTTACAAGATTTATTTGCAAATAAATCCCTTATTTAGGACTTGTCAATAATTTAATTATAAATGAAAAAACAACCATACGCTGAAATAATTATTAAAGAAATATCTTTCTGGGAAAATTGTAAATGAAGACCCCATAATATGTGAAATTATAATTTAGGATCCTAAATTTAGAAAATAGCAAATAAAGACCCAGTCTCATTTTTGCAAATATAAAATCATAATGAAATGTTTGAAATACCCCTTCAAATGATAAATTGACTATAGAAAATGATAAGTTTACTTTAACGAATGATAATTTTAGTAGACCAAATCACAAATTAGTTGAGGGTATGCCAAGTAACGAGTTAACTATAGGAAATGACAATTTCACTTTAACGAATAACAATTTTAATAGATCAAATTACAATTTGGCTAAGGAAGTATTTTAGACATTTCACCCACATTTCATATTTGCAAAAGTGAGACCATGTCCTTATTTGCTATTTTCTAAATTTAGGCTCCCAAGTCAGAATTTTATACATTATAGGGTTTTATTTGCAATTTTTCCTATCTTTATCACACCCCAATCTTTACCCTACGTCAACTCTGACTAGAACTAATCTTACAGAATCACAGACTTCTAATTTTCCCAAAAAAAAAAAGTTAAAACTCATTCCTTGATGGTTTCTTTATTTCTTTGGTTTGGATTTAATTCAAAATTTTAGGAAAGAAGCCAATTTCTTTTTTTTGATATAGCTCAAAGTATCTTCACATCACTTTAGATTTAACTTAATCTCTATCAAGTCAAGAGTATTAAGGTTAAAACTTTCTCAATCAATGTCCTTCTCAAAATTTAAACTTATATTTTTTTTTTACAAGAATGAGACCGCTTATCATGCTAACGAAAATTTAGGAAAGAAGCGAATTTCTCTTTATTATGTCTTTCACTCTGTTTTGTGATAATCATTTTTAGATATCTTTCTTTAGATCATTAATAATCATCAAATTATTTGGACAAAAGAATTTTTTTACAAAAAAAAGAGGAATTAGTAAATAAATCCACAAGAGATTGCTTAATGGAAAAGAATGGCCATCTTTTTTTATAAGACTGAAGCTTTAGTCCATTCAATAATTATTCACGTGTTGGCCCAATTGGAACTCCTTTCAGAAACATTACTTGTCAAATTGATGTTGAAATAATCCTGCTTTTTGACATCTTTTCGCCTTTAGTTAGGTATTAAAAATAATATTCTTTTCTGATTTTAAATATAACAGTTAAATAATTAGTTTTCAAGTTAAGTTAGTTATTAACAAAAGTCTTAAGTCTATGTTTTATGGATGAAAAAAATGTCCAAAAGAATGAATGAAAATACTGATGTTAATAAAGCCTCTCCTAACAGATATTTAAGCAGTCTAAAATGAAATTATCTTATAGTGTAAGATACTACAGGTTAATACAATATTTATTCTTTATAATTTACTCTTATTTTGATTTTAATCTCTCGAGGCATAATAATCCAAACAGATTTCTTTTCTTTTTTATTTCTAAAACTTGTTCTAAAAAATTACTCCAGAAAATGTTTCTAAAAACGTAAAAATAGAAAATAAAATCAAACATGCCCTAATTTATGGACAAAACGTAGGTTCATTTTTATATTTATGAGATATAATTCTCCCATAAAATTTTAACACAAGAATTTTTCTAATAATAAAAACTTACATTATTATTAATAACAAAAATCTTGATTGGATGATTGGAGCTGATGACTTGAGTAAATTATATCTAACTCTATTTTGTACTTAATTTATTTGTTATAGGCACATGATAAATAAAATCTCATAAGATAATAAACATAATGTACAAAATCCTTTATAAATCATGTGTAGATAATATTTTTTTATTTAAAATTGTATTATAAATCTCTTAAATTTGGCCAACCTAATGCCCCACTCATCCTGGGATTTTCGAAGACCATGACTCGCAAAGAGCAATGGGGTCCTTGCACATAAAATATTTTAAAGATTTATCATCATAGGAGTATTAAATAATATAACTAACTTTAAGCTTATAAAAGATTGTATTGCACTTTGACCCCCCACACAAATAAAAATCAAGGCTAAATTGCACTTTTTTTAAAAAACTTAAACATAACCATAAAATATCCTTTGATATTTGATATGAAACATCCTAAAACTTTTAAATATATGAAAACACTTGTTTCCATTCTAAAAATAATTTTTCTGGTTTTAAATATAAGATTTATTTTGTAGTAAAAAATTATATCATAAAATAAGTCTTATATTTAAAACAGGAGGAGTATAAGTCCTAATGTTAACTGTTGTGCTTTGTTAATTAGTAATTAAAAACTATAAATACAGAAAATTAATATTTATCTAATTAATATAATATGAAATTTAATGAAAAATAAATACAGCAACCTAATAAAAGTTATAATTATTTAATTACAAATCAAATGAAATTATAGGAGTCAACATATTAATATTTTTCCATGGAATAATTAATTTAGTATGTTGATTTCTGTTGCATAAAAAAGAAATTAAATTCTCCGTGACTAACATTGAAAATGAATGAAAAAAATTCACCTCAAGTCAGCTCAGTAATAAATTCGTTAGCAGGTGCATGGGCATGTATTATTTATTATAAATTATATTTTTTGACAAGTAAAAATAAAAGTAGTAAATTTTAAACCTATATATATTTTTTCCTGTGAAATTTATATTAGATCTAATTTTGTCACAAAAATTTTTGCTAAGTAACTATAAGTATCACAAAGTTTTTTGTGAGTTTAATGTCATCCAAAAATTTTCAAATCGTGACGATAACGCGATAACATGAGGGGAATTAAAGATGCAGAGTCTGCAAGGAGTTAAATTACTGAGCACTATTGCTGGTCAAAAACAAATTATTGAGCACTATTGCTGGTCAAAAAACAAAATTATTGAGCACTATGTAGGAGTTAGATTTGGGAATTCTAATTAATCAGAGGGTTAATGTGTAATTTTGATCTAGCTTTATTTTTCAGGCACAATTTTGCCTTTTATCTTTTTAGTGGTATCATTTTGACTATGATCTTGTTTCTTTAGGCACAATTTGTTTCTAAAGATTAGGGGCAAAATTGCGCCCTAAAAAGAAAAAATGAGAAGCAAAACCACACTTAAAAAATAAGATTATAGGCAAAATTGCACCGCTAAAAAATCATGGTGAAAATTACACCTTAACTCTCAAACAAATGGTCAAGCTCCGCACTTTTTAACAATAAGGTAACATTACTATAATTTGAAAATTTATTAGAGGATATTGAATTCAAAAAGAATTAAGTGAACAAAAATTTTCATAACAAAATTAAACATCCAGTAAAATTTCAAGTTTAAATACCAGGGAAAATAAGTTTCAGGAGGAGAATTTTATATTAAATGCAACCAAACCTGACTTTATTTTAGACTACTTGATGTAGCTTTCAAAAATTCATTGGCATCACAAAAATGAAGATGATGATTTGAGGGGGAAAAAAACTAAATCGAATGTGCAGACTTAACATGGTATGGCTATAAAATAACTATTGGCATTAAAACCTCAATAATATACTTCTTCTAATCCTATTTATAAGGTGCTTTTAGTATATTTTGTACATATCAAGAAAAATTTTAAAATATATTAACTTTTCATTAAAATATAATAATTTTCTAATTTTATTATCTACAATATAATAAATAAAAGATGAAATAATATGTTTAAATTAAAAATTTAATAAAATAACTTATAAATTAAACCACTCAATTTTTTTTATTTTATAAATAGGATTAAAGGAATATTTTTGTAAATTTTTCATGAAACGTATTATATTTTTTAAAATTTTAAAATTTTTAATTAAATTATATGATTTTGTTTCGATGGCAAATTTCTTTGACAAGCAATGCCCCAATCTGTCAATAAAAAAGCAACGGCTTCGTCCTCGTCATCATCTCTCTCTCTCTCTCTTTTGCAGACGCTGACTTACTCACTGGCGAAGTCATCACTCTCTCTCCTCTTAGCTTTTAGTTTTACATGTAGAAATCAACACTTCAGAAGCAGAAGAAGCCATTGAAGCTTAACGAGGGCGTTATAGGAAGAGGAAGACGAAGAGCCTTCCCAAAATGACTACCAGACCTAATCAACAGCATCGGCGCATAGAGGAGAGACCGCTCCAGAACGGAGACCACCGGCCACGGCAACCGCCACCTGCACGTGGGGCGGCACCGCCACCACAGGCATCGTCTTCCGGTGGGAACCACCACCAGCCCCAACCCCAACCTCAACCCCAAACACAACTTCCCCGCCATTACTACCCGCCGCCACCGACGCCGTACCGGCCGTCGTCTTCCGCCTCCTTTAGAGGCTGTTGTTGTTGTCTTTTCCTTCTCTTCTCCTTCCTTGCTCTTCTCGTCCTCGCCATAGTCCTTGTTATCATACTGGCCGTGAAGCCCAAGAAGCCTCAGTTCGATCTCCAGCAAGTAGGCGTTCAGTACATGGGCATAACGCCATCCTCCGTCGCCGGCGTCGCCTCCAACGACCCTACCGGCTCCACCGCCTCTCTCTCCCTGACAATCCGGCTGCTCTTCACAGCGGTGAACCCTAACAAGGTGGGGATCAAGTACGGCGAGTCCAGGTTCACCGTCATGTACAGGGGAATTCCGCTGGGCAAAGCTTCGGTGCCTGGGTTCTATCAAGAAGCTCACAGCGTAAGACAGGTTGTGGCCACCATTTCCGTCGATCGAGTCAATTTGCTTCAGGCCGACGCCGCCGATTTAATCCGAGATGCTTCACTCAATGACAGGGTCGAGTTACGGGTCTTGGGCGACGTTGGAGCTAAGATCCGAGTAATGAACTTTGACTCCCCTGGCGTTCAGGTTTGCCCTCTTCAATTGCGCTCTCCTCTTCCGTAGTTTAAATGCTCTGCTGATTCTTATCCTCTCTAATTTCGGCTTCAATTTTATTGTTAGCTCTTTCCTGATTAAGCTCTGCCTACAATTTGCTTGCAAATCAAAACGAAACCTTCTTCGTTAGATTTCATTTAAACTCTGGTTTTTCCTCTCACTTTTCCTCTGGGTAGTACGGAGAGAATGTGCGAAGAGTACCGACGGTAGGTGGCATGGGATGTGCCTGTATCTGCGGATTCCATTACCCTCTGTCGCATTTTGCTTTTTCATGACTTATCTTCTTCCTTCCTTTCTCCACTTTGTCGTCTTCCTTTTCCGGTGGCTAACGTGCGCCGCTGAGAATGTACCAGATTTGCCTGTGATAGCATGCACCGAAAGCAATTTTGGGGATATTAGTCTTCTGAGATATCATTACAAGGGTCTTATAGTCATACTAGCCACAGTGTTCTTCCATTGATAACCTTCCTGTTTGATTTGATGCTTTTTCCTTTATCTTTTTGTGTGTTTTTGCAGTATCTCTTACAACTGTTAGTGTGAATAATGAAAATTCGCGGTAACAGACATTTTTGGTTAAAAAGCTTAGTGGGTGTCCCCTCAACTTTAGTGTTGTGCATGGCTTGGCCCTGGCGCCTATTTCTGCATTTTTGTTCCCTGTCTTGGCAAGGATGGTATCCGTTTTTAGTGGAATTTTTGTTTTAGTGTGGGGTTCTTGGGGTTTTCCCCTTAATATATGGCTTTGTTTTTTTTCTTCACGGTAGACGTCCTGTATATGGCTTTTCTTACTAGTTCTTTAACATTTGTTTCTTGTGCAATCACATGGTCACATTGAGAAGACTTAAAAAATGAATTATTGGTCCCACAAAAAAAAAAAAAAAAGGAATTATTCGTTGCTCAATTCTCATGTTTAGGAGATCTTTGAAATGAATTCTTGAATGATGCTAACAAGTATACTTTCTCTTCACATTTTTCTGTGCATTTGTCTTGTCACTATTTTAGACATTCCAATAGCTTCGCCCCTATGTGCTTGACTGCTGTAATCTTCACTTGTTTATTTTATACTATCACCTTTTAGATTCTCTCTTGTTTTTAGAAAATAAATAAATGTACTAATTCATAGACTTTAAGTTTTTAAAAGTAATTTTTAGGGGGTTTACTTGTAATTTTGAGGGATCTTAGTTGTAATAAAATCTTTTATCTTAAATTTTACAAATTTAAGGTTCTTAGTTTCGGTTCTTTTCTTTTTATATCTTATTCTTGTTTATTTGGTTTTTAGTTTGGGTAGAGCTCTTTTTAATTATGCAACTGTGAAATAAGAAATGATTAAGAACAAAATCGTTGTTAAAAAAAAAAAAAAAAGGTCAAGGTCCCACCGGGAGTTGAACCCAGGTCGCTGGATTCAAAGTCCAGTGTGCTTACCACTACAACATGGAACCAATCACCTTTTTCCTTGATATTACACTTACCTGAATTTATTTATTCTACTTTTGTTGTTTTGTATTTTGCTGCGATATGTTTCTGTTCTAAAAAATAATATAGATAATGGCATAATGTTAATTTTTTTTTTTTTTCCCATTTCAAAGTATGGAAGTTCATGTTCATTATGTGTATTTTGATATGCGCCCAAGTTATCAAACTTGAAAATCAGGGAGTTGAATAACCCAAAAAAGAAGCTTTGAAATGGGAAGACATTGCCTTTCAAATCCCTTTCTTTTTCTTTAGGCCAAGGTAAAGAGTTAGCCATGTGACTTTCCTTTTTGTGGGGCACATGGGGTCATCCTCCTCTCTGTCCGATGTCCATATGTTCGTGGGGGAACACATGGATCTTTCAGGTCTTAATTTTGAGCCCCACACCTCCCCTATCTTACCCCTTTTTCCTTGTCAAGTATCAATGAAATTGTGGTTCGCTACTCCCTCTCAAGTCCTAAATATAAGATTTTGATTCACTTTGTCTTCCTTATTTAATATATATTTTTTCACACTGCCCTTACTAATTTCTCTCTCTTTTTCACTCTCTTAGTCCCCCACATTTAATATTCTCATTAAAAGAGGGATACCCTAACAAACCGACTGGCAATCTTTTCATGATAATAGAAATAACTATCTAATTTCTTTAATCTCTTTAAATTAGTTAACTTGGTCTCATATCTAGGATTAGAGGGGCATTTCCCTATCTTCCCCTCTCTCTTCATTACAAATATTAAATCATTTTTTATTATTAGTGTTCACTACAGCACCAATGGATCATGTTTAACCGGCACAGTTGCTTTTTGAGCAGCAGTTTCAACCTCCAAACAACGGCTGTTCATTTTTGTTTGTATATCTGTTTTGTGTTTTCTTTTTTCCGAGATATGGATCACAGGAACTGCACAATAGAGAAACCAATTTTCTCATTTTAGTCTTCATTTTATTCTGCTCTATTTTGTTATGAAACAGGACCTAGTATGCGGTTTACTGGAACTCTCCTTGGCAATTTGTGCCATTTTCTCATTGTAGTCACTGTACCCGAAAAAGTTAAGATACTAAAGAAGAGAATCATGTGAGTTAGGAAAAGTAGACAAAGTTATGAATATATTTAATTTTTTTCATATAGATCTTATATAATTTCTAGTAAATATTAAATACACCGAATCAATTACAATAAGATACTCTGTGTAAAGATATTAGAATGCATGAATTATATTTTTAAGATCTCTGTTTGTTTATTATTATTTCAGTTTATAGCATTTTTGTAGCTGGAGCCTGGATGAAATGCTTCTTGTTCAGACTATCTTTAACCAAACAAACCATCTTCATTTAATCATCTATCTCATAGTTATGATGGTCTTTTAACGAACCAAGTTCATGTTTAAAAATATGATCATTGTGTGGCTAAAGGAAGATGAAAGATCATGAACTCAATTTTATATATGCAGGTTTCGGTGGATTGTGCTATAGTGATCAGTCCAAGGAAGCAGAGCCTGACATACAAGCAATGTGGATTCGATGGACTGAGTGTTTGACCAGAAAAGTGCAGAGCAGATCCTTCCAGTTGTCATTGAAGGAGAAAGTGAAGAGACATAGAAATGGGGGTGAGATTCAAAGTTTCATCCTTATTTCTTATCTTTTTTTCTCTTTATTTTTTTAAATTCACTTTCTTCTCCATTCACTATGAAGGATCTAAATCCATGAAACTGACATTCCCCTTCTTTTCTTTTCCTCCTTCATCGATGCCCTTTCCTCTCTCACACTCACTTGAGCTCTCATTTCTTCGAGTAATTTGAGGAAGAAATGAGAAAACATTATATATGCCCAAAAAAAAAAAAGAAGGAAAAAGTGAGTTTCTCATTCATAATATGCATTTTTAGGCAGTGAGGTTTGAATGCTGATCTGAAAGGTTCTCACATAGAATTGTGAAAATAGAAACCCAATGGAGGAAGAACTTAAAGGATAAAAATTTCTCAAAAGATTTTGCATTTTTTTTTTTAGTTGAAAAATTGGTTGCTTCATTTGGAAGGCTAATTATGCGGACATCGTGTAAACTGTAAAGTTTTAATCAGATGAGTGGCTATTTGATATCCTTTTGTTGTTTTGCTGTCTGTCTTCTTTTCTTTTTCTCTGTTTGGTGAAATCTCTCTTTCTACTTTTCTTTTTGGCTTTCGGAAAGTGTAGAGAAGTTATACTAATTTAGTTGTTAATTATTTGTACAGCTTGACGTGGGAACTTTATTTTTTTTCCTTTGCAGCTAAGTAATGTTATAAAAATGAGATTCGCTGGGAATCCGGCGATCTTATTTTGCTTTTAAATATTTTAGGAATCAGAAATATTAAAAATTAGTTTAGAACTATTTTTTTTGTGTGTAATGTTAACATGTAAATTGAAAATTTAATAATATATTAATCTCATTATAATCGGATGTACTACTGTTATGAAAGTTTGTTGATTAAAAAAATATAATGGGAAGAATGAATAATTTAGAATTAATATAGTTAGATTGCAAGCTCATGGTTTCTCAAAATTGAATGTAAACTGAATCAATTTCCATAAATCTTGTATTATATATGAGAGTATCTTTTGGCCAAAAAATATGTTATATAAATATATAAATAATAATGTTCAAGTAGAAGATCACTAATACAATATTGTGTGGTCATATATCATGGCTTTGTTAATCTGATCGGAGGTATGCATTAATGAAAATATAAATGGATATTTCATCATAAAGTAGTACTCCTCTAGTTTTTAATATAACATATAATTAATTAATTTGAGTAGATTAATTATTAGTAAAATTATTTAATAATATGTTTTTTCAAAAACACTTTAATCATATTCTTTAATTTCCTCATTTTTCTCATACTTGATTATTGTTAAGAAAATATTAATAGAGTTAATTTTTAAAAAAATTAATAAACATGTGAAATAAGTTTTACATATAGAATTAATATCAATTTTTAAATTAGGTGATAGGAGGAGTATTTTTGAATATTTTTTCTTGTGATGACTTTAAAAATTTTTGCTTATGTTTGAAATTTTTTTTTTTTTTACTGATTTTATAACTCGGAATCGACTTTAAGAAAAACTCTAAAAATAATAGAGCAGAAAATGGCATATTTATCAGCTCCATCAACAGATGCGTGGCAAGCCTTTGCATTGATATCCAAGCTTATTCTTCAACTTATTTAAGTATATATGTCTCTGTGTGTGCGTGGTAGCTGCCTCTCAAATTTTTAGAAATATAACAATAATATAAATCGAAATTTACATAATTTCATTTCCTCTCTCTTGATTGATTGATTCCATAACTCTTCCATTAGAACAAGAAAGCCCATTTTTATAATAGATGAAAAAGCCGGTGTGCTCTGAATTTTAATTTTAGCTTTAGGTGCGAACTTTCTCGCTAGTTGTTTGTTGGCATGCGACCTTATCCGTGCAGTGACCCTTTTATTATTACTGATTAATTTATATACAAATAAAAAATAATAATCTTAACAAAGGAAAATCCAATTCCTTTGAAAGTCGCAGGGTTAAACACAAAAGTACCTACTCTCATAAATATTTCTCAAAATAGCTAGCCCTACTATCTTGTACTAGTTAAAATTAAGTATTTGTATAAATAATATTTGTCACTCACTTTGTTTAATTTTACATGTTAGATACTTGCATTCTTTTCATGTCCCTCTTTATTCCAATTCCCCTTTCCGGGTTTCCTTTCACATTCCCCGGAAAACCTCGTCTATTATCCCAACAGCGACCTGAACGCATATTCATATCATATTCATTAGGCCAAAGGCTGGAAAATAAAAATCCTCTGTCTTCACCAAAACATAAAAGTCATTTGTTGAAAAACGTGCGAAATCTTCCACCGGGTTCCAGGAAACAAAGTTAACTCAAACTGAGAAACTATTATTTCTAGCATGCCCAAACAGCAAGTAGAGGACCGTTTCTTAAGGAAGTATTATAGATAAACAACACACCGCATGATTAAAAAGAACCTAAAACTCAGTGCATAATCATACTCATGTCTAAATATTGACTCTCCGGCATCTTAATCTTGGTAAATAAAAATACCCAGATTAATCAGCACCTAGAAGCTGTAATGAACAAGACCCAGCAGAAACACAATCAGGCCTTGAGGCGACCGTAAAACTTCTGTTTCTCCTGAGTGGTCTGGAAGCGACCATGTCCAAACTTGGAGGAAGTGTCAATGAACTTGAGTTTAACCTCTTCAAGGGCCACACGAGAAGTCTGCTTCAGTAATGACTGGCGAAGGGTCAGCACACGCTTTTTGGGTCCCACACAGCATCCCCTAATCATAATAAAATCATCCTTTACCACACCATAGTGAGGGAATCCACCCATTGGAGTGATGTCCTTCTCAGTCCTGCAATATCGTCATTGTGAACTGTTAATGCATGATATAGTGGAGGAGAAAAGGTTATGTATGGTTGAATAAAGCCAGAAACAATACGGAATACAATATACAGTTGGTGTGCAACAATACCTGTCATAATCAGTGATGGCCGAGTGTGACTCTTGCCCTGCCTTGCCAACCCTGTAGATCTTCTTATTCAACTCAGTGCGGTGATGATATCCATTTTGTCCAGCCCTGGCAACTGTGAATGAAACTCGGGCAGGATGCCACGCACCAATACAAGCAACCTTTCTTAGACCCCTGTGTGTCTTGCGTGGAAGGCGAGTGACACCCCAACGAGTTACAACACCTTCGTAACCTTTACCCTTCGTCACACCAATGATATCTATCATCTCATCTTTCTGGAAAACAGCATCCACTGGGATTTGCTTCTCAAAGAAGCCATATGCATAGTCCACCTTCTGTGCTATTGTCCCCCCATTAACTTGGATCTCCATCAGATGTGCCTTCTTTTGCTTTAGACCCTTCACCTTCCGTATCTTCAAACAACAAAACAAAACGTCATGACTTCGCACGAAAGTGCAAGCCGTATTCCAGGACAACATTTTTTTTCCATCAATTAGCCATGCTATGAATTAGCTCCAAGGCAACGTAACAAACGAACAAATCATGAACTACCTTGAAAAGATAACTTCATGGCAAAAATACAGGATATACAAGGGAATAAAGGCACCAAATCCACCTATTAACCAGTCATACCTGAGTATGGGCCAAAACACGGATGACAGTTGCATATTTTTTCAATTTTTCAAGTTGTGCTTGAATATCCTTCTTCCCTTCCTCAGTTTCGTGTTTCTTTGAATATTTGGTAAATGCCTTCTTCTTAGACTTGCACCAGTTCTTGTAGAACCGCCTTTTAACTTCCTCACTTAGATGCTGAGCCCAGACTGTGTTTAATGTGCGCAGTCCACGAGGTGTCTTCACATATCCAACAACTCCAACAACCACAATCGGAGGAGTTTCAACAATAGTAACAGCTTCACAAGTCTCCTTCTTATGAAGCTTTGATCCAGGTTTCTCAACATCTCTAACAATGTGGGTCATCCCAGCCTTGTAACCCATAAAGGCGGTCAACCTGCAAGGTTTGCTGGGGTCATCCTTTGGAAAGGCCTTTGCTGCAAAATCGAATTAGGATATAAAAGGTAGAAAAAGTAAGCATAATGCATTTGTCAAATAATCAAATAATTTACATATATCTATTCCTTCTTCCAAAACAGAGTCATTTAAGCCACAAGATAATCTTTCTCACCACAATATATCACTTTTTAAATAATGAATACTTCTAATCAAAATAGATAACAAAGCACACCATACCAGAAGAAAAAAGGGAAGGGTTAAAAAACACATCCACTAGAGTAATGTTTATATTCTATTTTGTGGAAATAATATACTACTCTCTGCAATATTTTAACAATAGTAATGACTTGGTAGATACAGCGAACTGAAACTGGGTAGCTTCATCGAGTCATTAACACCATGTGAGCAAATTTCACCAGACTGAGACCAGATTAGGGACCACTATTCAATGCATGGGCTGTTGGTGAAAATCCCATGCTATTTTCTTTTGAAGAGGCAACAAACCAGAATCCAGTAACAGATGGCCCCACATATTTGAAATCCACACTGATCGCTTACTTTGGGCCACAACAGCACTCATTTCCCCATAACCAACAGATATTGGTTATATGTACAGTGTACTAAATACCATGACATCTTCGCATTTGCAAAAACCATCATTTAGCAGCCAAAATTTATGACATCTTAACCAATTAAGATAAAAGAAAGATATCCACATGATATGAAATTTAATTAGTAACATGAAACGTGTGCATTTTTCGCACTGCATCTCTACATCACATGGAGATGGAACCCGAAGGCACTTCCACAGACAAAATTGTCTTCCTCCGTATACCATACAATTGTAAGCACGAATACTGCATAATATTATCAATGCAGCGTTGTTCTGTATCATTAATCATCACCTTAGAAAACATACTGCTTGAATCTCTTAAATATAAATATATACAATCATCTCACGTTATTTCACCAAAAATGTGAGAAATGAAAAACAAAAACACAAACAAACACAGTGGGGGTCGGCTAAAAACATAGAAACAAAAAAAAAAAATCTTTGCACGTTAGATAAATTTAGACATAGACATTTGATGTTAAGAATGTAGCACCAAACCGACACAACCCGTCAAAATCCCCATAAGCATGCATATACATTATTTTGCACCTAGTACATGCATGCTTATGATGATTTAGCACCTATGACCCAAAAAAAATGGTACTTAAGCCGAAAAAGACTATTCCATCTACTAGTCAACTTTGAACCTATGCCTTGTAAAACATAAATCATCGATGCCAAGCTCAAATCTGCAATGAAGAAATGCTCCCCAACCAAAAGCCCATGGCACAAATAATGCCAATTCTCTCAGGCTCCTGGGTATTCCTTCCCAAAAACCCTTTACAGGATCTTTGGCTAGAAGAGCCCTTTCAGAGATTCCAGCCTTGATTCATCAGTTCTTTAAGGGAGCAAAATTTCAACCATTGCTCAGAAATGGCAACGTGATGATTATGATTCACAAATGCATCGGCGCTTGTAAATAATTTTGAAAATTAACTTACAAAAATATTCAGGAAAAAATCGTAACTAGTCCGTCGGTGCTCGGCTAATTTAGAAGAATGAAATTCGTCCGAAGAATTTGTTTTACATTGTCTTCCTATTCAAGTAGTAGAAAAATGTTAAATACCCTTTCCACGATGACGAGAAGCACGCTTCCTAGGCAGAAAGCCAAGGGAACCATGTCTGGGGTGCTCAAACTTTCTGTGAGACATATTTCCTGTTTCAACAATGAAAGCATTCAGATCGTTAACCGATGCCTAAACACGAAGTATACACAAGACATCTAACACGTAGTTAGAGCAACAAATCAAACTACGTTATAACCACAGAGAAAAATTATGTGGCAAATGAAATTGAGATTTCAGATATCAATAAAAAATCAAGTTCAAAATTGGGAGGAAAAAGAAAAACTCATTCATAGCTAAACAACAGCAGGTCCACCTAAGTCACGAAGAAAGTCACAAAATTGTTGGATCTACCGAACTATTATAACCCATCACATCAACATCTCACGATTCCAAACACACAGATGTATGGATTCACTCATCGATATTTTCTCCACGAACTGATTAAATAATGATGCGGAATAAGAAAATGAGCAAAGACACAATAGATAGAGCGAAACGATTTGAGCGATAATTAGAGTCGCTAGAAAGCATACGGTTCCAGATATACCTGCTGCTGAAGCTTGGACACGAACGAAGCGGCGCCCGAAATGCTATCTTCAGCTTAGAGCATCAGGCCAGCACAAGCATGTCATTATATAGGAGAATGACTCATTGTCTGCGGTTATAATGGAGCCCTAGATTCCTAAATTTGGGCCTATGGATCAAGTGATCGGCCCATGTTATCAACTTTAAAGTGTCTCGCGGCACGTGGCGGAACCGGATCCTGCAAAAAAATGATTTAAAAAATAATTTAAAGGTAAAATTAAGCTTTCGGCCTCTATAACTTTGATTTGATTGCCATGCAGTATCTAAATTTTAACTTAATACAATTCACTTTGTACGGTTTGGTTTTAGTTGTAATTCAATTTCTAAATTTTGACTTGAGAAATATTTTGAGTAGAAACCAAATCATAATTTTAAAAGTAATTTTATAATATACAAAATAAATATATAGAGCAGTTTGTCTCGTAAAAAAATATAAAAATATTTTTGAGTGTTTGGAAACACCTCCCCACTATGACTTTTAATTCCTATAAATTTAACTGTTTAAAACTTTAGTTTCCTTTTCTTTTCACCGAAAGCGTTTTGTTTTTGGAGGGGGGGAATCAAGCTTGTTGGGCCGGCCGTATATAGGCTTGAAAATTGTTAGGATTGGGTTTTAGATTTTTTACATTCAAATTGCAAACAATCCTGTAACGATCAACCCATTTAGGTTCTTTTTTATTTTTTAAAAATTGTTCATATGATTTTAACATATTGATTTCTTTTTGCATTGTCAATGATGTTGCAAATTTTTATCTGTTATTATTTTTTTTAAAATTAAATTTCATCAAATAGTTTGATTTATTTAGTTTTGGACAATGAATTGTTCATTTAAACTTTTTAAAAAAATGAGTTAATTTGAACTTTTGATAATGCTTTTTGATTTGCGTTATATATTTATATATATTAATATTTTAAATATATATACACATTTAATTAGAGAATATTTTAACACTTGTATAACTTATGATTCTATAATTTAAATTAAAAGTTTGTGAGTTTTAAAAGTAATGTATATCAAACTAAAATAAAATAATAATTAGACTGTAAAATTTGAAAATGAATTTTATTTGAATGAAAATGAAGATTTTAGTTTGCAAAGCTAATATGAGTATGTAGCATAAGTCCTAAAACTTTAATTTTTCTTATAGTTCTATTGCAATGTTAATCCTGTAGCAACAAATAGTTCCATACCTAATTTATATTACTTGTTATAAGATTTATTGTTTTATCATTTAAGAATTTTATAAGATTTAGTATTTTAATATTTTGTCTCTTAAAAAGAGTTAAGTTTTGCTCAAATTATTGCATTCTAGTTTCACTTACCCCCGGGAGAGATTCTTAAGCGTAGATGTTGCGCAAAGCATACTTAAATTTCTAAAGACCAAAAAAACAAAAAACAAAAAAAATTACAGAGTTGAGGTTTCAAGAAGAAGGAAAAACTTAAGAGTGAATTCCTAAGAAGCACACTAATATATTAGTGGGAGATATCAACTTGTATATTACTGCCTCTGGTTCTTAATATAAAACCTCGTTTAACGTTTATTTTGGTCCTAAATATAAGATCCAATCTATTTTGTCTTTAATATTTATGCATTTTTTCTTAAGGTAGTTGTTCTTCTAATAATAGGAATTCCAGTCAACACACTTGATTAGCAAAGATATTTTAGGAAAGACAACACATATTTATTACAAATAACTAAGTTAATTTATTTCTTTAATATCTTTAAATTAGCCAACTAGCTTTTATAATTAGGATCGGACGTAATACCATGGAAGACGGTTGAATATATAGATTTCAGGCTAATAGAAAACAACAGATGATATCACTTATAAAGTAACACAACTCATCATAAAATAAGACCACAATGATACCAAAGTAAAAGCTAAAGCTAATGACTCAGACAACAACACACGTAACTCAACCCATGTTTGGAAGGGTGTTTGTGACAACTAGGATCATGTAAAACGGGTTATTGGTTTTAAGTTGGGAAATGGGCAGATGGCTAACTTCGGGTTTGACAGATGGACGCCTCCTCACCGTGAGGAGCTAGCAACTCTGGTCAATCGTGACTCGTGAGATTCCTCAGGAAGCACAGAAATGGAAGGTAATCTCCTATGGCGTTGGTCCGGTGAAGTCAGCCTACAAAGTAATCCTTAATCCAGTAGCACGGGGCCACCATAGACATTGAAGGCGACTGCGGAAACTACGTGTACCCCAAAGATGCAGGACTTTTCTCATAAAATGTATAAAGAGATTATCCTCTTTTTCTTTCTCGTTTCTTTCTCCACCTTGAGAGTAAAAAAAATGAAAAAAAGTTATTTTGAGAATAGATTTTGAAAAAATAAATTTTGTAAAAAAATGATTTTGATAAAATGAGAATGTTTGTATAATTATTATCAGCATCACTTTTTCCATGTATAAATTATTAAAAAAAATATAAATTAATATGATAATCACATAAAAAGATTAGATTTACCTCCTCTCATACACGCTGCCTCCATCCCTTAGCCTCCACCCCTTACTTTTGCTTCTTGTTTGCTTACGATATCATCAATTGCATTGATGGCTCATACTTCTTTTGTCCTCAATCAATATTGATTGCGAGTCATGTTTCCCTACAGCCAATAAACTCTTACTTTTTTTTCTTTCATTCCATCCTGTATAATTAATCACACCACCACTATCTTTTCCTTCTTGGACTCGTGTAAGTCTCATTCTCATGATAGAGTTTACTTAATCCAGGTACACTTACTTTCAGATTTTAAAAGTTTAGCTCCACAGTTTATCTTTGTTAGATTTTTGGGCTTGGATCCGCCCTTGATGGGCCGAATTATTTGACCGGGTATAAAGAGAATATATCAGTCAAATATCCAAGCGATATTGTGATATGTTTGACTTGGTCAAACACCCTGAATCATATCCAATCGGTTACGATATAAATCTAATTAATTTATATTAAATTAATTAATTTATATTGTGTAGATTAAATATATATTAAGTATATATATTTAGAATTAATTGTGATTGATTCTGGATTTAAATTCAAATATCATGATATTATGAGATAAGAATATATTATATCTTATCTCAGATTTTATCTGATGGGCTCAGTGGATATTTTTATGCTACCCAAAATATCCCTGACAAAAGCTATAAATAGAGGCTTCCCCCCATCAGTTCAAATCACTCCAGTAGTAGAGCTTTCCTACTATCTCTCTCTCTCTCTTATTTTCTTTCTTGCAAAAGAGGTGCTCTGCTGTGCACTTAAAAGCTCAGACTTTTATAGTCTAGCTTAAGCGTGAGCTAAAAAGATCCGACCGACCCGACCCGAGATCCGACCCGGTATGTTTTCGATCCATTCTGAAATTTATCTTACATTGGCATTAGAGCCGAGATGTTCTTGAGGCTCTCAATATATGTGTGCATATATATATTACACGCTCATTTTTTCCGCTGCATCGTGAATATGCCGTATGCAATTCGAACTCTATATGCTTGTGTTTTAAATTCACATAAACACTCCATTTATATAAGTGAAGTTCGAAAACAATTACCTGTTATTCCGTAAGGCTTAAAAACGTGATCGAAGTCCACTTTCTGAAGCTTCCAACGTCGGCCGTTCGAACCATTTTTTTTGGGTCTTTAAAATTGACGTTTTTTAAAGAAAATAAACCCATAGAGTTGTAGAGCACGAAAATACGAGTCCATAGACACCTAAAATGCATAAAACGGAGCTCGGAGGAGGAAGATACGGCGGTTCGAAAATGGCGGGTCGCGACGGACCCGCCGGAGCTCCAGCCGGATCTGGGGCGACCCGGCTGGAGGTCAGGGACGACCTGACCAGCCCAAAACGGTGTCGTTTTGGGCTGGCCAGGACGCAGCGTTTCACTTTAAGTGAAACGCTGCGTTTCGGGTCCGTGGACCTGGATCCCCTGGAAGTCGGGTCGGTCGACCGAAATTTAAAAAAAAATTATTTAAAAAAAAAGTTTTTTTTGAATTTTTTTTTGGACGTGCCATGTGGGCGCGTGGGGTCCACCTAGGGACCCTTTGGTCATAAAAAGCACATATATAGACTCCTTGAGACGTGAGGAATCAGATGGAATAGGTCAGGTGACGGCGAGAGGCCGGAATACACGCGCCGGTCCCGAGAGTGGGCAAACCTAGCCCTAAAAAAAAAAAAAAATTTTTTTTGCTTATTGGGGCGCGTGAGGGCGCGTGAGGGGCTATTTTTGAGCCCTGTTTGACCTGAAATATTTCTAAAATCATGAGCTATGAATTAATATATTATGTGCCTATTTTTTATGACCTTTTGGGTACGAAAAATAGCAAATAAATGTTTTTGAATATTTATTTTTATTTTTCTTAACTTGTTCTTTTTGGGTTTAGGAAATGACCAACTCAAACTCAAATTCTAACTCCTCTTTTGGAAAATATCCAACTTATTCTCCTCTTTCTGATGATTCGAAATCTTCAAATTATTATGCTGCCGAAAGTACAAATAAAAGAAAAGCGCCTCAATCACAAGTAAACTCTAATATACCTGAGGGGAGCAGTGGTGAAAGGAAATGTGTTCCTGACCAACAAGAGGAAGAAGTCTGCAGACCCAAGGACATAATTTTAATAGAACAGATAGCAGAAAAGCATGCTGATGAATACAAGCATCAAAAGTGCCTCTTTTCAAAATTGACTTATTATGCTAAACAAATTGTCAATGAGCAAGACGCACTCTTTTTCTCAAATATTGCAATCCAATACCGAGAGGAACTGGCGAGGAGGGGACACATATTTAGTGAAGCATTTTTTAAACAATGTCTCTGTAGATGCTGGAAAGGTGTTAAAGAGAGTTTGAGAGAACCAATGATAAAATATATCATGAACGAATGAGTTTTTGTTCACATTTATATTTCTTTTAATGTTTACTCTTGAGACTTCATTTTTGGAATTATCCATTTTTTTGTAAACATTCATGCTTTAATAAATAAAGTTTTTTTTTAATTTTCAAATGCTTTATTTGAGTGGGAGTTTCATGAGGAAAACTCCAAA